GTATGTATGTATGAATGTATACATGTGATAGCTGGGTTGCTAGATAGGCAAGAAAGCAATCTGGAGAGATCGTGGCTACCGTTTCGTCGGACTTGACGATGTTGTTGACGTAGAGTAGATGTGTCCACCAGCTGTTCTCACAAGATGTCTTGTCTCCTGGCTGCACGTTGCTCCACAGAGCTCCAGACCCGAAGAACCTTTGTAAGCCCAGGACCAGCAACAGCGTCAGCATGTAGGGGGGAGTCAGTCTGAGGATTGTGGCACACAAATAATGAATGAAAGAATACATGGGTGGTTGGCTGGTGCTCTGGATTGGTTTGCTCCTTCTTTTCCGTATTATATCTCCTCCTTTATTTTCGTTTTTACTACTCTCTTGTATCACTTTTATACTCTGGGACTTATATGATCTAATTGTGTTGCAAGTGCGGTAGCCAAAAAAAAAACCCCCCACTAGAACAAAATAAAAGAAAGAGTAAAACACTTTTGGTTTATCTTTTGGGTTTCAGTTTGTACTTGTTTTGTGTTAGTGTGTTTTGTTTTTGCCCTCTGTAAAAGTATCATTTTTAAAATTCGTCCTGTGTCCAGAATAGTCAATGTATTATTGATTTGGCTTTCAAAAATGAATTATTCTCTTCCTTCCCTCATTTATCGCGAATATGATTTATTTGCTGCACTTCAGCTGTATCCATATACATCAAATCTGTATTCTTGTTAAAACATTTTTGTGAGTAATGGTTATCCACTCATTTTTCTACTTGGACACTTTAAAAAAACGTATATCATCTTAAGTGTCTATAATATCATCCCGTCATCCATCTTTCAAAGCTCTACAAGTCTAAGCAAGCTATTGTCTTTTTATATTAATCTTAAACTTTTATTTCTTGCTTTTAAGTCTTTCTAGTGTGAACGAAATGTCTCAGCCCCATAACGTTTCTTGATAACAAATAAACGATTAAAGTTTGCTTCGAGAACTGGGTTGCTGGACTTGGGTAGGAGTTTGAAGCACTGGTTGCCAATCTTTTTATAGCCAGTGTTCACTTTTGCCACTGTTAAGAGGTTAAAATTTCCACACTGAGTTTCAAAACTTGGCATGAAATAATACGTATCTCAACATGGATGATTCCAAAAATGCCTTTTCTAATTAAAAAAAGCTCACATGATTCAGTCCTTCCCCAAATTAAACGTTAAAAGGGGAAGTAGGCTTATTGCATTGCAATACGACATGACAATTATACGTAAATTCAAAACGTTGCTCTCCCCC